TCCTCCTCCTCCTCCTCCTCCTCCTCTTCCTTTTCCTCCTCTTCTTCTTCGTTGCCCTCCTCCTCCTCCTCTTCTTCTTTCTCCTCCTCCTCCTATTCTCATTCTTCGCCGTCCTCGTTCTCCTCCTCCTCTTCTCAATAGTCCGCGTCCTCCATCTCCCCCCTCTTCGTCCTCCACCTCCTCCTCCTCCTCTTCCTCCTCCTCCTCTTCCTCCTCCTCTTCCTCCTCCTCTTCCTTCTCCTCCTTCTCTTCCTCCTCCTCCTTTCCGTCCACTTCCTTCGGACCTCTTCTCAATCTTTGTCGTCCTCTTTTCCTCCTCCTCCTCTTCTCATTCTTTGCCGTCCTCGTTCCACTCCTCCTCATTTTCTCAATAATCCTTGTCCTCCATCTCCCCCTCCTCCTCATTCTTCTCCTCCTCATTCTTCTTCTCCTCTTCTTCCTCCTTGTCCTCGTCCCGGTCCTCCTCCTCCTCCATCATCGCGGCGAACGAATTTGCCTCTATCGCCATAACCCCGTTTATCTACTCTCTTTCCTCCTCCTCTTCCTCCTCCTCTTCATATTCTTCTTTCTCATTCTCCTTCTCGTCCTCCTCCTCCTGCGCATCCTTCTCTTCTTCTTCATCTTCCTCCTCCTCCTCCTCCTCCTCCTCCTCCTCCTCTTTATGTTCTTCTTCCTCATTTTCGTTCTTGCCCTCCTCCTCCTCTGCATCCTTCCCTTCTTCTTCATCTTCCTCCTCCTCTTCCTCCTCTTCTCCTTCTTCTTCGTCATCCTCCTCCTCCTCTTCCTCCTCTTCCTGCTCTACCTCCTTCTCCTCCTCCTCCTCTTCCTCCTCCTCCTCCTCTTCCTCCTCCTCCTCTTCGGTGTCGTTATCGTTGTCCTCCTCCTTGTCCATCGTCGCAGCGTCCCGATTTGCATCCATCACAACAACCTGCTCCTGCTCCCTTTCCTCCTCCGCCGCCTGCTCCTCTTCCTCTTCGTCGTCGCCGCCACGTGGCCATCCTCCTCCTCGTCCTCCACGTCTTCTTCTTTCTTCATCCTCCTCCTCCTCGTCTTCCTCCTTTTATTCTTCATCCTCCTCCTCCTCCTTTTCCTCCTTCACTTCTTCCTTATCCTCCTCCTCCTCGTGTTTGTCGTCCTCGTCCTCGTTGCCCTCCTCCCCTTTCAATGCCTCCTCCTCCTCCTTTCCGTCCTTCTCGTCCTCCTCCTCATCCTTAACATCGTCGTCTGCGGCCGTGTCGCCAT